TCAGTCCCTTAACTCAAAATGAATGTAAACAAGTGTTATTCATATACTAAATCAACCAAGAAAAAATACATCAGATTTCAAAATTATATTCCATCTTATAAAAAAGATTTGAGTAGATGATCTTGTTCGCATCAAACTCAGTGTAGAAAAATGTAGATCCTCTACAGTGCAATCTTCCGTATATAGATTACGAAACAAACCAAGGCATCTGAGCCTTGGCATTCTAGAAACATTTAATCGGTAGAATCTTCAATCAAAATTCATAATTGAGCTCCTCAATAGCAAAAATACATCAGAAAGAGTAAATGATCAGAGCAGAAACCCATAAGTTCTTTCTCTGATGAGGCATATTGCTTCAAGAGAAACATGTCATCAGAGTAAACCTAAAAATCGTTGGATAAGTAAGTAGAGTGTCTATTCAGTAAGTCTAACACTTTGCAGCAAAGCATAAACAAGAAAGAAGGTTAGAGGGGAGAAAGGGGGAAAAAAATAAGCGGAAGTAAGCTAAACTAAACAAGAACCTGGTGATCACAGTTACGGCAAGCATAGAGAAGAATCTTCTGCTCCTTGTCCTCTTTAGGATACAGAATGTTGTTGCTGAAATCAAGAGATGAAGAAAATAATGTGAAAACGAAAGCCCCAGTTCAACGTCGTAAAAGCATCGTAATGAAGGCAAGGAAAAGAGGTAGCAACCATTCGCGGCAAAACTTCATAGTACTCATCTTGGAAGGGCCGCGAAGAAGGAGACGCTGGAGATTGGAAGGAGCGAAAACAAAAACAGACACTTCCGGAGAATAGAGCCAAGGGTTTTCGATTCTTTTGGCGGGCATCTATACTAAGACCCCATTTTTGTTTTTTTTTTTTTGGGCTTTTCGGTCAAGCTATGCCAGGATCATTCCAGACTTCTCGTAAAAACTGGCTAAATATGTCACCAAAAAAAAAAAAAGGGGCACGCCGCTGAATTTTCAATTTTGAATTTTTATGCAACTAACTTCATTGTCATCAATTTATCCATTATTTATTAATAAAATGTAACATACAAAAATCTATTTGAATATGATATCTCCAAATTTAAATTGGTTGCCCAAAAAATAGGTTTTTTTCCACCAGATTTAGAGAGGTTATCTATTAAAAAAGTTAAATCTAAAGACATATATCTTCAAGAATACTGTATACCCACAGTGAAAAATGTGCTAAATAATGTTTAAACAGTAAAAGAAATTGTTTCCTCATGGCTTAAATGCCAAGAAAATTTTACATAATTAGCCAACAAAAAAATATTGAATGAGCTTGATAATGCATTTAATCGGCTTGTTTGAACTTCACACTTAATTTCATGGTTTTTGAATGTGTCTACAGACTCAATGATTTGCTTACAGAAGCACTAAGGTAAAATTTAAACTCATATCTTTATGAGTTGAGTCAATCCCATACCAATTAAATGAACCATTTTTTATGTTATACTCCTCCAATTTTAAATATAAGACTCTTATACACACTAATATAAGGGTCTTATACTTAGGACCAGAGGAATATTATACTACTTACCGGTCCTTAATATAAGACCTTGTTTGACATTTATTTTTGGTCCTAAATATAAGATCCCAATCCACTTTGTCTCTTATATTTATTCATTTTTTTTTCAAAGTAGTCCTTTTAACAATGGTAATTCTAACTAATACACTTAATTAGCAAAGATATTTTTAGGAAAGACAATACCTATTTATTACAAATAACTAACTTAATTTCTTTTTCTTAATCTCTTCAAATTAGTCAACTAGCTCTTGTTATTAGAAGCAGAGATAGTATTATTATTACACCCTCAGCGAAAAAACCTAACATGATCACATACAGACAGATGTCCAATTTTTGAGAAGATCACTAAACATATAGTGGCAGAAGTTATTTATACCACACACTGTAAGTACAGAAAATCGGATGGCTAATTAGACATCTTTAGGTTGCCATATCGTCACACTTGCCCTTCATAGTGCTTTCGAAGCCATGCAGCTCTGTTCGTTACTGGTTCTGTGAGAAAGAGCAAAGAATGAGAAAGATCAAAACATAGAGAAATGGATTCTCTCGCCTTAATGATCATTTGAAATAAAAATTTTCATATCCAGAGATTTAGCATGTTGGGGAGGATGATTAAAGAGAAGATAATGAGTATACTAGTTGTCTTGTCCTTAACAGAAACCAGCTCTGAAAAATCACGAGCTGTATTTCTATTGATCAATAACATTATCCGTCATTGTCAAGCCATCAACCTAACCTATTTAATTCCAGATTAAGCAAAAAGTTGAATCTGTAAAAGGAAAATGAGCTTGAAATTCAATGCTGCTTGTTTCCTCTGTTCATAAAAGCTGGCCTATTCTGCTAAATGCACAAGGAATCTGCGCATCAAAATGTATGGTTTAACGCTGAAAATCATCAAGTACATCATCCAGAAGCCTCAACTGTACCATTCAATCGACTTAATTGAGTCTAGTCTAACACACAGAACAGATAGATATTGGATAATAATTCCTTCCAAGTGTCTCAATTCAAGGACAGTATTCTGACACAAAACCCAGGATCAGAACTAGTTTATTGAACCAAAAGCAAGTCATAACAGGACAGTTCAGGAATGTGTTAGACGCATAAACCCAAGTGCAATAATATGCAGGGATACAGCCTAACGACCATGATACACATTAATAGAATTATGATGCCCCGCAAGGACACTTCCATTAAGAACACCGTGAACATGTCCTCCTTGATTGGTGATGACATTGTAGTTTTGGTTCCCAGCGTTGGCGAACACCCCTGTCGCTGCCGACATGGGAACAGGAGTTCCCGAATTAGGATGGTGGTTCTGGCACGGCGTTGCTGGTGGTGATGCTTCTAAGATACTCTTAGCTTTATTCAATTTTGATGTCATGGGTTCTTGGAATTGGGTTTGTTATCGAAGAGGTTGAAATCCTCGTCGTCCTCGCCTGTCCCAAATCCATAGTCGTCGTCGTCGTCAGCCTCCACCGTAGCAGTTTTGTCTGTTCTTAGACGGACACCTCATATGAACTCTCTGTTTCGGGAACTTTCTGTATTGGATTCAGAAGCTGGTCTTCACAAAATCAATTGCTTAAAAACTGTCTCTCAATGTTAGCGTAAACTCAAAGCTGGATTATCTATCCATTCGGATTCTTTGACTGAGAAATTCTTAACTCACGTGCCTAGGCATCCGGTACCTTTTAGACTAGAAACCGTGTTAAAAACAAGTCGAGCAAAGCTCACGGAAGACAGAAGACAGCTCAAGTACAAGATACCCACTGACATGTCTTTCACATAAGCCTTGAATGAAAATCCTAAACAGTCTACATGTCCGCGTAAACCAAAAGGCATAAGCAATACAAATTCAAGCGTGAAGACCATTGAAGAGTGTGGCTGCACTTGACAACCACGTGTCTTTCGATCTTATCTTTTCCTTTAGTCCTTTAGACGTGGTAACTAAAGCGAAATTAAATAACTCAGGCATATTTAGTCTATCATATGTCGAACTTCCCCTTCTTACTGCTTTAGGAGCCATGGAACTCGTCGTTTCTGGCTGTGAGAAGGAGAGATAAAGTACAAAAACCACAACACAGAGGAACGAATTCTCTCAACTTAGTTAATGGTCAGTTGATGCTTGAAAAAAACAAAATCATTTTCAGAGAGTTGTGATGCTTGAACAGCAGGAATATAACAAGTTTATTAGTTGTTCTTGCCAACGGCGTTGCTAGAAACCAGCTCTGAATAATAGCTTTTTTGGAATTTATACTATATATGCATGTCCAGTATTTCTATTGATCAAAAAATTATCCATCATTATAAAGTGATCTACTGAAAGATGCAAGACGGGGAATCGGTGAAAGAAGAATAATGAGCCAGAATGCTGCTTGTTTCCTCTGTTTACAAAGGGTGATATGTAACCGAAGATCAGAACTTTATTGAATGAAAAACCAGATCATCAGGTACGGTAAATCATAACAGAAGTACGGTTGCAGAGGGTCCAATATTAGACTCATAAACGGAAGGGTAATAATATAGAGGGATACAGCCTAACAACAATGATACACAGTAATAGAATTGTGGTGACCCAAAAGGATACTTCCATTAAGAACACCTTGAACCAATCCTCCTTGATTGGTGATGCCATTGATGTCTTGCTTTCCACTGTTGCCAAACACGCCTGTTACTGCCGACATGAGAGCAGGATTTGTGGGGTGGCTCCGTGGGAGTGTTGTTGCTGGCGGTGATGCTTCTGAGATGCTCTTAGTTTCATTGAATTTTGATGCAATGGGGCTCTTGGGCTTGGATTTGTTATCGAAGAGATTGAAATCCTCGTCCTCCTCGTTGGTCCCAAATAGATCATCGTCGTCATCGTCAACCTCCATAACAGCAACTTGTATGGTCTTACCCAGCCAACTCATACGGACTCTGTTTCTGGCTCTTCTATAACTTGTCTGGAACCTCTTTGAAACGGCAACGTTATTTCCTTATAAGCTGTACATTTATCTATTTTATCCATCTACCAAACTACTAGCGTGAACTCAAAGCTGAATAATTATCTGTGCGATTCTTTGAGAATTTTCGCTCACATGCTTGGGCATCAGACAAGTTGAACACCTTGCAGAGTTGAGAATGAAAAGTAATCGGGATAAACAATTAGGTGAGTCTAGCACACGGATTCGGTTATCGTACTGGTATAAAAAGAATTTTGATTCGTGTATATTCTACAGGTGCAAGATAAACAAAGCACAAATGCCGCTATGTGACCTAATAAGTTTGTTCTATTAAAGTTACAGAGACCTCTCTTGTTTTCTTTTTAATTGCTAGATCATCAATCATCGTCGGCGCCGAAAGGCTATAAGTACCGAACAAAGATCAGCCATAATAAGTGATCACTTATGACCTTTTTTAAAATTTTTAACTTGGGAGTTATATGAAAGAAAGAACCTTCAATAAAACGAGAATTGCAAAGCCTCTGATGAGAAAGTCATTAATGGTGATTACAAAATCCAAAAGGAAACCTTACAACTTCATCTAAAACATGAACAACATATACACAAGAGGGGGAGGCTTTTTTCTTGGGGTGTTATATGGGTAATAAAGGGATGGAACAAGATGACCTAACGTAAAAGCCAGTCACAGTTAGAAGATCCAAGAGAGGAGATTGGCGGCGGTGGAGACGGCGGCTCCGGTGATTGCAGTTTGCACGATCTTCTCGTGGGAGGAGTTTTCCGATGTAAGCGCAAGTGTGGCCCCTGTGAGTGCTCCTGCTACTGCACTGTTTTTCTGCACCAAACATCATTAATCAGCTGTGATTCTTTTAATGAATGCTAAGATCATGCTTTACACTAAAAGCAAGGAGACAAAGGGATATGTTTGAGAAGATTTACCCAATCATGAACTCCTCGAGCCTCCTTTAGGCCATATGTGAGACCTGAATACAATCCCGCAGCCAATCCTGCATCAACATTTCATATCTTACGGTAAGGCTATAAATTTTTCAACATGGAGAAGTTGGTTAATGACTTCAATCCGTTATCAGAAAACAAAAGTCTAACATGATCATTCATCATATACCATTTTCATTAAACAGATTGAGATACTGCTCGACTTAATTTTTCACTGGTAAACAAAATCAAGCAAATTCACATTCATATACATATAAAGGCACACGAGATAGACATTAAGGGGAATATATCATAATTACCCCATTGAAAGGACTCCTTTCCGCTATTCTTGACCTGAGAGGCAAAAAAAAAGGTAAAAGAATCAAGACTAAGAAACATAACTGGGGAATAAATGAGTATGAGGTTGCTTACTCACCATGGCCTCAAGAGACTTGCTGTTAGTCTCTCCTGGGTACGTGCATGGAACATTTAAGCAACAAATAAGCAGGAATGTAGAAAAATTAGTACAAAGTAAATACGAAAGAGAGAGTTGGATATACAAACTAATGAGATGGCGGAATATGTTGTACCTCCGAGGCCAGGAAAACGAGCTCTTTTGGAATCTGAAACATCAGGTACAATGCTGCCACCATTATCAAGGCCCGCACCTAGAAAATCATTTACATTACAGGTGTAAAAACGGTGACTTCAGAAGAAGAGAGATGAGTGGGGAAGAAGAAGGGAGAAGCATGGCACCTTCAACAGCCGTGAAATAAGCCTCACGGGACACAGCTTGGATGGCTCCTATCTGTCACAGATTGGAGAGACAAGAAGAGTTCATCATCACATGCATGCAGACATGAAGAACCATGTAAATAATTAATCATGCAATATTATACCGCAGCAGCTTTGAGGAAGCTGTTGGAGACGCGATTGAGAAGAGGATGGCCGAAGTCGAAGAGGGGAACTTCATTATCAAAGCTACGAAGTTCCTGCATCAGAGATCTGGAATCCAAGTTCTTGCTGCTCATCTTTACTCCCTCACACTCACAAAGCCAAGCTTCCTCTTCTTTTGTTATATTGTTCCCCAGCCTACAACAATGCACTGCACACAACTACTCCTCATTACACGTGTTGCTATCACTCGTACGTGGCTCTTTCCGCTGTTGCCAACCCATTTCCAACTTCCTTCTCTGTATGCATTTTAGTAACCTAACTTTCAACCCTTTTCACCCTTGTCCATGTTGTATTAGTAATAACTCATGCCTCTTTTTTTTTGGTTCCCTGACTGTTTTTATATTCGCCTTTATGTTCATGGTTTTGACTTTTTGTGCTGCAAAGCAAACGGTTCTTCCGACGGGAAAAACAAAAATCAACCGTTTCTTCCTGGAAAGAGCGGCAACCACGTTCAATTTGCCCACTTCAAGCCGCTTAATAGTCAATCTTTAGTTATATTAGGGTATATTTATTGATTGAGAGAAATGTTCGCTTGATCCAACGTCAGATACTCCAGCCATACAACATCTTAACATTTTAAATTCACCACTAATTTGAATTAACATAATGTCGCCACTTCGAATTCGACTGCAACATTACCTAATACCTAGGACCACACTTTGGGATTTTTTTTTTTTTCATGGGCACAGTTATCTTCCTACTAGATACAATTCAATTCGACTCAAACCCTAAATATAAACACCTCTTTTAATAAGAATTCACTGTGTTATAAGATATTAGCTCCTTCCATTAGCCTAACTCTCAATTAGTAAACACCTGAAGATTTTGCATCTCGTTCAAATTGATGTCAAACCTTTAACGTGCCTCTCACGTAACCCCTCAACTTTTTTTTTTTGGAAAGTATTCTGGAGTTAAAAAAAATAGTTGTGATCAAGAATGTAATTTCAACTTAGAAAAAAAATAGTTGTGATCAAGAATGTAATTTCAAAAGGTTTATAACTTTATGCTTTCTAAAGTTATAAGACGTTGAAATTTTAATATTTAAATATACACTGGATCCTCAGCTCAAAAAACACACACACAGACACAGAGAGAGACAGAGGATTCTTTTAACTCGCTACATTTGCTAAAAATTGACCCTACAAACTCACTGCACAATCCCGTTACCATATCCACCGCAAAAACATTATTTTAAAAAAAAAACAGAGAGAGAGAGAAGACCTGTGGAAGGCAGATATTGATGCCCTGGATCACCAAGTTCAAGCAACCGAAAAAGGGAATGATGGTAACAGGTCTCTATCTCCCTCACCCCCATTCCCCAACCCACCCTCTTTTCTGGCAGGATTTATGAAAAGGGCTCGAGTAAGCAAAAAACCAAAGAGCAGAGAAAGGGAAAGAAAAAGAAAAGATGAAAATTAATGCTGATGAATGTTGTACAAAAAAGCAAGAAATTACTAGACAAGGAGCCGGAGGAGAGGATAAGATCCAAGTTGATGGCATTAATGTCTTCCCCACCTCTTAGGTGCCACGTTATGTTATCTCCTCGTGATCCTCTTTCGCGGTATGATACCTTACGACATTTCCCCCATTTCCTCTGTCCTTCGTCGTCTCCAAGCTATTGCTTTGGCAGTCAGCTCACTAGCAAATCCACGTCATAACAGAATAGACTGTCCATGCCTTGTTGTACACGGTTCCAAATACTACTTATGATCCATTTACAGCCATCTCCGGTGAGGAATTTGGTGGCACCAGTTGACGTTCCTCACCATCCAACTGTCTATTATCTTCGTTGCCATGCAAGTGATCAGAACAGTTCCTAGAGGCAGTAGTTTCTTCCTCTACATTACTCTCTTCAGAGGTTGCGCTGTTATTATCTGAAGAGTTTCTAGGAGCACTTGATGCCTTTTCTTCACTGTTGTCACCAGAGCTCATTCTCCCTTCGGCTGCGTCAGGACTAGCATGTACGTTGATTGCAGTTTTCTTAGCAGGAAGCACGGCCTGGTTCAGTGTTGAACATAGGGCAGAAAAAACACCATCTTTGGACTTTGGATACTTGAACCACTTCTACTTCTTCACATGCTCGGGTTCTCTGTCTTTGGAAGGCAATTTCCGTTTTAGCCTGAGAGACTCCATAGTCCCTTCATCTTCATCCAAAGCTTCTGGCCGCTTCCTTGGCGGTGGCTTGTAATCTTCATCATCCTCATCATCATCATAGTCTACTAGACCACCAGTCTTGGGCCATAATTCCAAATTAACATATCAGTTTGGAACATATGGAATGCAAACGATTCAATTTCCATAATACAGGAAAATGGAATCTACCTTATCTGTAAGACGCTTGCAGAGCCATTAGATGAATTAGATTGCGTTGGCTGTCCTTTCTGATTGTGGGAAACGGATGCAGAAGCTGTATCTTCCTCATCACTGATTCAATCAAGAGTAAGACAATTATATGTAAGAAGTCTCCAACAATGTGTGAGAGAGAGAGAGAGAGAGAACGTACCTGTCCTCGTTGAAGTAGTCTTCCTCTTCTTTCTCTAGAGCCCGCTCATCAGTTCGTCTCCGGGGGTCTGTCACATTAGCAGTACTTTTTGGCCGCCCGTTATCTAAACACTGCAATAAAAAATGCATCATCAGACATTTGCACCAAAAACAGAAGGAGAAGATACCAAAACCAGGACCAGCAGCAAGGAAAATACCTGCTCATACTTTACTTTCAGTGATTGAATGGAAGCCAAATACTCAAATTTCTCAAGCTGAGGCCAGAAAGAATCAACTAAATATTTCACCAATAATTTTAGATTCTCCTGCAGCATACAATGTTATCAGTACATAATTGCTTCAGACATTTAAGATGCACAGTACATAGGTATAAAAGAAAGAACCTTCCGGATATACTCAAAAAGTTCTAGAACTGCAGAGTTTAGCAGATTGTAGCGATGGCCATTGTCAACAAAAGCATCTACAATTGGTTTGAGAAGGTTATTCCTAACAAAATGATTTATCAGATGCTCGTCCAGCAGGTCAACACTCCAAAATATTAAGCAAAATGCTTAAAGGGGGTCAGCCAGCAGAAAATGGCAGCAAAACCAGAATAACATGGAAACAAAAGGAAATATAGGACACTAAACAAATTCAAACCAGTCTTAAACACTAACCCTCCTCCAAAAGCTACCGATAGAAGTGGAGAACCTACTTGAACACCCTATTGAGGGTCCTATGCTACTTTATGTGAGATTTAGGCATCCCAATAGAATCTACAACACTTCACTCATCTTCCTTGTTAGTTAAATCCTCCAATGGTTAAAACCCTCAATAGGCAGCCCTTTCCAGAACCAATGTCCATCAACTTTGATAACAATTGATAGGTACTCAAGTAAAAAACCCTCCCCCAAAAGTTAACTTTTGAGGTTGGAGAGCCAATCTACATAGTGCTTGTTTGGAATGGCAGACGAATTCTTCATAATCAACTTTGCAATCATAATTAATGGAATTTAAGGTAAGTATGTGAGAGGTTTGTTTCAAATTATGTGAATAAGTGTTTTTGGGGTGTCCAATTGTGATCCCAAACAAGCACATAAATACCGATTAAGCACCCCATTACTACTCAATTTTGAAACTTAGATACCCTACTGCTCATCGCAAGACTATGGCATAACATACCACCTAAGTGTCCATTAAAAAAACCATCAGTAATCTTATCCTAGCATGAACTTGGGGACCAATGGACCATTAAAATTAACAAACACTTGCTTCTCAATTACACCACCATACATTCTGCATTTCCCTAAAATTCATCGAACATTTTATTAGTGCAGATATTAAGACTCACATGACAAGAGAGGATGGTACGAACAAATCGAACGCCCCAACAACCAAGTATTTTTCCCTTCTTTTTGTCAAAAGCAAAATTTTGTCAATCACATTGTTCAAAAGGAAGTTGCAGCTGCAAGCAACAGAAAAATTCACGTTCAAAATTAACATGAGCAGCAACAAATTCCTAAAGGTATATCAATCACATAATGCACAGCAGCAACATACTTTATCCCTTATGGGTGATGCAGCACACAAAAGCATAATAATTCGCATATGTTTGATAATATCTCTGGTTTTGTTTCCATCTGACAATTGACCCTTTGACTGGGATCCACTGAATTGCTACTTGCACGAGCAACAGAAGGACATGACGCTGTTATTACTTCGATCAGTTGCCCCAAATGCTTCTCTTAGAAGATATCAATAATAGTATCCCTCTGTCGGAAAGAGACCTCCATCTCACATGAAAACTGACAAGTTTTCCAACAAATCAGCAGATATATCATAAAACAAAAGTCAACATTCAAAATTAAGATCTGCATAAAAAAACTCAAGTGTGTTGACTCCAAATGAAAAAGCCATTATAAAGCAAGAAAACTAAAACCACTTATTAAACCAAACCGAAACCTTCCACCATATCCAACCCAATAATTCCCCCCTCCCTCCTCCTCTCATTTGCCCCCAAAAAATGACATGATACTAATGCTTCCAGTTGGATGCTAACCGTTGACAGCATATGAACCACATACATGACTAACGGTACTTTCAGAACATAGTATATCCATGGTGATTGAAAACATATTGGACCCATACCGAACTAATTAGCTGCAAATTCTGTAAATATTAACCATTAGTATCTGGGTTGGTGGATAACTGCAGACTACATAACAAAACAGTGAATCACACCTTCCTACATAGAGATCACCATGCTCAGCTTAGCCAGGAGAGGACATACTAAAGATGTCTCAAACAAAATCAACCACATTAGGTAAACATCAACTAGTGGAAACTCAAGAAGATTTTGAGACAATTTGAGACCATCCATAACAATGGTAGCAACAGTTGCGGTTTTGCAGCAAAACCTATTATTGGTATTAAATTTAATTATTTACTACATTATGGAGATACTTATGGAGATAATACATTCTTAATAATTATTAATACTCATATTAAGTACGCGTATCCAACCATAAGAAGGAATTTCCGCTTCCGTGCTTGATAGAGTTATATGTGATCCATCTAATCATTTTACTAACTA